ACAGGCCAAAAAAGAGTTTTTAATTTATTTTAAAATATTTTTTTTTAATTAAAACCCCCACAGGCCACTTTATTAGGTTCACCTGTTTGACTCCTTGTCTATTTAGCGAATCACATGGCAGCAACTCTGCTTTAATCTCTTTTCCCCTCCTTCCAGTTTGCCCGGAGCTGTGAGTGTTTCGGAGGCGGTAACTTCCAGAGCAACATCGCGAGCTTCTCTTGACTCAAGCGGAGCGAAGCCCAAACTCGGCTGCCCGAAAGACAACTGGCACAGGTAGGCTGATTCTCTGGGAGACGCTCGATCACAGGAACAGACAGAGTGGATACTTGTGTCCATCATTGTGAGCTTTTTTCTACTGAGTCAGAAAAGAAGAGGAGGCACGTTTCGTTCTATCAGTTCCATCCTAAACACAGCCTCAGGACTCAGACACTCTGGTTTGACCTTTCTTAACTGGTGGATGCTTTAACTGTTCTAATCCAGTGGAGTGTAATGGTTTTTATTACAGCGTCATTAGGAAAAAAACAGGCTAAACTGGTTATTTTAACTCTGAGCTGAGTCATAAAGTTTAAGTCGGGCATTGTTTGCTTGTTTAATAAATACGTGAACACGTGAGGAGGAGATCTAACCGCGTGTTTAGTGTTTTGTTTTGTTTTTTGTTCTAAAAACAACCTGTGAAGGTTGTGAAGTCTAAATGTTAAGATGTGGCAGTCTGTGGAGAAGTATTCATTCATGCCAGTGATATTCCAACACTGGTGACTTTTTGGTTTTTTTCAGCAAAGAGTAAATGCTTAAATGAAACTGACTAACAGAGCAGTAACCAGCTGCCTCTCCAGCTGGTGGCCTTTCTTCTGATGTGCAGCATCTGTGAGCTCGGCACAGTGGCACCGGCGCTCCGCCAGCTGCAGGTTCTGGTTACAGTGGCCCTTGATCTCAGAGCAGATCCTCAGAACAGAACCAGGACTGCAGATGCTAGCTGTGATCCAGGCTGATGGAGATAAAAGTCTGTCTGACATCAGGGGTTGGGTGTAAGTGTAGCTCAGAGGTCAGCAAACATCTGGACTGAAAAATAAGTTTTTTTTAAGGTCAGACTTTGTGTTGTGTCTTAGGATTATTTCAGCTGCATTTTTGTGGTCATTGGTCTTTCAGCTGACGTCTCTTTTCTCGTTGAGTGTTTATTTTGGAGTTCTTCTTTGTGATATTTGATTTTCTTTCTCGTCCTTTTAGCTGCATGAGGAAAACTTCCAGAGGAGCGTCCAGAACACAGCGCCGTCGCAGGTCCAAGTCGCCCATCCTCCACCCACCGAAGTTCACCTACTGCAGCACGTCCGGAGCGTCTGCACTGTCGCCCCCTAGTGGTTGCCCGAAGCACCAGCGCCTGGCCGCGCCTGAGCCTGCCCCACCTTGTCCTGCGGCAGACGGACTAGCCGCCTCGCCCGTGGCCATCCCGGTCCCAAAAGAGCACTCCTCTTCAGGGTCGCCCGGGCATGTCCCCACTCTGGTTTTTGGATCCTGTGCTGCTTATGAGACGCATATTAGAAGCGTGGCTTCCCCACAGTCCTCACAAGAGATCCCCACTGTCATCACCGCTACGTCTGGGCTGGCCGGAGGAAAGTCGAGTGAGGACAGCAGCCCGCAGAGCAGCGAAACCAGAGCGGGAACATCCCCGAGATCCAGACCGGCAGAGGCTGCTGACTTCCGAGCTCTGTCCGAACTCCACAGCGGCAGGTCTGCCGAGGGTCCCCACGCCGCCTGTTCCTGTGCCCAGAGAAGCAGCTCAGAGTCTCAAGAGGACGGCAAGCAGGGGGTCGAGTGTCAGTGCCATCATCAAGGGTGGCACGGTGTGGAAGTCTACTCCTTCACGGGGCTCCGCAACGTCATATCGGAGTGTGAGAGGAGCCTGCCGAGCAGCGAGGAAGCATCCAGAACTCTCAGCTGTAACGCGGCGGCGGCGTCTCCGGCGCTGTCGTCAGGCTCCCCTCGCTCCTGCTCAGAGCAGGCGCGCGCCTACGTGGATGACATCACAATAGAGGACCTTTCTGGCTACATGGAGTATTATTTATACATCCCCAAAAAGATGTCGCACATGGCCGAGATGATGTACACTTAGAGTCAGATTTATTATTACCACTATTATTATGTCAGATAAGGAAAATGATAAGACGGTAACAAGGGTATTTTTTTCTGTTGATGAGAGAAAAGTTGGCCTTGGAGGAAAGTTAGGTGCTTGTAGAAGGAAGAGTTAGGAATACAAGTTTCATTTAAATGGACAAAGGTTGGCCACAACATTAGAACCACTCATAGGTGAGATCCACATGTTAAGTTGTGACGGTCTGTTAATCCACGTCTGTTATATTCCCACGCTCTGTTATAGCAGCAAAACAAAACAGCTGGCCCGATCGAGGCCCCTGAGCCCATAGGAACCAGCCCCGGGGGCCACAGACTGCCGTTTCAAAGCTGGTCCAAGCACATCCTGCTAGCGCTCTGCTAGCGTTAACTTTAACCCACCTTTCTGGAGGTGGAGCCGAGGGGCTGACATAGGGCCAGAGGCAGGTCTGTCACAGGGCTAATGCACAGAGACAGGTTGCTGTTTTTCTCATGAAATTCTCATAAATTTGCATGAAGATTAAACGTTTTTCTGAATAATTGTTATACATTCAGTATAAGTTTGGTTTAGTGGGTCAGTGACAGAGTGTCAGCCTGTAAACCCACAACCAGAGGTGCACGTGCACGGCTGCCCGCTGTGCCTGCAGTAGGGGAGGGTGTGACTTTTGAATGTTAGAAAAATCATTAAGTTAGAAAAATCCAACTTTTTTTTGTCTTTCTTTTTTCTTCGGGTGAGTGAAAGGACATACCTACAAATGTAGAAAAGAATTTGATACTAACTACAAGACGGTGAGATTAATGTGACAAAAATAATCCAGAAATGAGGCCCAGAGCCTTCGACTGCACTCAACGTGTTGAAGTGGATTATATTTGAATCCAACGTGTTTTGATAGCACACTCTCTCAGATTTGTTTAAAGATGCTTCGTATCCAGTAACTCTGATAACCAGAAGCTGTCGTATTTTGGAGCCTGACTGTCGGCAGGTGTGCAGACCGTGTCAGGCGGGCGGTTTTAATGTTGTGGCTGATGGCCACAGAATAGACTAACCCACGTTTAATGTTTCTGTTTGACTTTCCGTGATTTTTACTAAATCTGACAGAAACACGTCACAGCCAGCTGTTTCGCTTTAGTTTCGCCTTTCTCTTTGTTTGTGGATCACTTTTCTTTGTTTGTTTTCGGTTTACAAATGAAGTTGCCAAAGCTCCTGGTGCTGGGTCTTGCAGAAGACAGGAACACGCAAACTTGTCATGCCAAGTGTGATTCTGTTTTTGGTGTTTGTGGCGACCTCAGGAGTCGCCCGTCTGGATTTAATTTCACTCAATAAAGAAGTAAAAAATGGAGAATTCGTCGTCTTCACTCGTGTCAATGAAGCTAATCAGAGATTTTTCTAACATGCTCGCACGGAGTTTACAGGAAGTAATAAAATAATTTCAACACAAACCCTGAAGCCCCAGTTACAGATAACAGATGGCGGTTATCAACAACTGTCTCTTAAGTCATGCTCTCTGCTTTAGGCTCTGGGCACGCTCACAAAAAAGGGGCGTTTCCCGTGTCTTGTGCACAAATTGATCCCCATGAGTGTCACCTGCTTGAGCAATAAGTTATATCATGATAAAATGGTGTCTAAAATCTATAAAGAACATAATAAAAGTAACAGTAAATGCAACACTGCAGCAATATGACAAATTATTGTTCCATAAAAATGCTAAACGTGTGTTTTGGCACACTAAAACAATTTAACTCCAGCCTCACGTTAGAGTTTAAGCTGGATCCATTTAAAAGTCCCACAGTCTAAAAACGCAAACGTGAAAAATGCTTCTGTTTGTCACAGATTAAAGAGAAATTTATCTGATTGAACAGATAGTCTGTGTGAGTAAACTATAAAATCATTCTATATTTCCTGCTTCACCAAAATAATACATGTAATCTCCAGTGACAGTGAGGCACAGTTTGAGCTGCTGTACCTTTACAGCTGGGCTTCATTCAGGGGGTTTAAAACATTCCACCGGGAGAGAATCACACTGAAAACATGCTGGAAATAACAAAAACCCAAAACAAATCAGTGAAAATGTGGCACTTCCAGTTGATTTTTAGATAAAAATGAACCTAACTCGCTCCAGACCAGGTGATGTATTACTGTGTTACCAAGGTGATATAGCCAGGTAAAAAGCCATGTTTATATCAGGAAGCTCTCAGAATACAGTCTCTGACTGTAAACAGTAAATCTGTGAACTGTTGATGAATCCATTCATTTTTCATTTTTCTCTGACCTACTTGCAACCAAACCGCAGCTTTTGCACTACAATTTTGCCTCTGGCTAAAACTGGGTTGTTCCAGTATTTTGTTGTAGGAGAGATTACTTTCTATGCTTATCCGATTCTGCCCAACAGAAGAGTTTCATCATATTTTTAATCATCAAATAGAAGATGTAAACTGGGATTTAATATCACAGATACGAGTCATGGAGGATGAAAAATGATATAAATAGACTAATAAATACTTCGTAATAAAAATGATGAAATCAAAATGTATCCCTATATTTCACCAGTTTCATTTTTGTCAGGCTGTTTTGAAATTAATTAATTAAATTCCTAAAGTAAGATAAAGGTATTGTGATTGTCCCTTTACACTAACAATGTCGTTTTTATAAAGCTAGTTGTGTATTTATTCGTAAATGTGGCACTGTTTGTCCTCCATAACGGGCCACTAGTCGCCTTCCGCTGACATACATTATGGGAGCACGGTGAGGGTGTGGACCAATCAGCCGGCGCCAACTGGACGCTGTCCCCAGAATGCTCTGTCTCCGTCCAATCAGAGGTGAATTCGTGGAGGACTCCGGAACGAGTCGGACTTCTCGACCAATGAGGTGCTGGCGTAGCGTGACGTGGCGCCGGGAAGACCACACTGATCGTTCACTTTACCGGCGTCTGTGCAGAAGCGCCTGCGGTCCATGAGTGCGGAGTCTCCCTGTCCAACAGCGGTTAACCGGGCGGCATTCTGAGTGTTTATCCTCGCAGAAATGTTGTGTTTGAGCGGGTTGTCGGTGGCGCTCGCCCTCGCTCTCGTGCCGGGTCCCTCCGAAGCCTTGAAGGAAGGAGACTGTGAAGGTAGGTCCGTGTGCTAGCTTCAGTTAGCTTAGCTACAGCGATCAGGGTTCAACAACTTTTAAAAGACCTCCACCCGAAAGCGGTCTAAACTCCACCTGCCAGGGTTACCGTGGCGAAGGGAGCGGAGCTGGTGCTTACAGGGGTGTCACTATTC